AGCGAGCTCGGAGGAAAATTCTTGTAATCGAGGTAGCCCATTGCGCTACGCGAAACGTCAATTAGGAAACCAGTTGGTTTCCTCGTTATTACCGGGAATCGGTTAATCGTTATTATTCCGTCCCTCCAGCAACGTTTATCTCGTTCTTTACGTAATAGGCCACTTCATTCACAAAACCGTTTCGCGAGTCAACGAAAGATTCGTTTGAAAACACCGATATCGGCTTTCATTGTCAGTTTACGGGCAATTCCACGTTACACAGAACTTTTGTACGACGACTCTACGATACTTTAATACTCCGTCGATTGATTCAGCTTCGTAGAAGCAACTGTTACAACTGTTTCCTTTCGTTGCCAATGGAAAATTCGCAGTATCGAAAGAATTTACCGTTCCTCCGGGTCGTAAATATTAATCGTATTACCTTCGTAGCTTGGTCGGATTAAAATTAATATTTCAACCTGACCCGAACGTTTCTGCGGCTCGATGTTTACGATCGACCTGCGACTTGGAGGCACAGTTTTTCACGATCTCCTTGAAACACAGATAAAATGGAAAGTATCGCGTGGCTGTGGACGCTCGGTCGTGACCCAACGTCTTCTACGAGCGATCTAACAGGAGGCGAGGAACGAGACACGAGAGGACAAGAATACTCGTCAGGGCGTGTCTTTTCCGTGTTCTCTGCAACTTCCATCGACTTTCTCTACATTGTTTGCGCGCTGGACGTTCCGGGCATCCCTTCGAACCGCGTGCACAGACCAATACGAAAGCACGAGCTGGCGCAATTATGCGAGAAACTCGTGTCACGAATCGGAAGAAAAAAGACGAGCGAAAATGTACTGAACGCGAGTCAATAATTGCGCGCATCGTCCGATCGATTGCGCGCGCCACGTTCTCACCGGAGGTACACAATAAAGAGAACAATAAAGTCTGCTCGGGCTTGGGAAGGGCATCGTGAACATACTCGTGTCTTTCTTCTTCTTTTCTCTTCTTCTCTTTTTTTTTCCTTTCGAACCTCGCGCGCATATCGCCGTAGCTTTCTCCGTGTCGAACGACGAACTTAACCCAGAATCGACGGACCCTTCGCGCGTTTCATAATTATCATAAAGCGTGAATAGAATCCCGAGCCGATAATTCGAGGGTCCTGTTATCTCGCTACGTGCACACATGCACGAACGATCGGTATTCAAGCGAGCGTCTGTCGAGCATTGTAATGGTACCGATGATACAGCTGCTCGATATGAGTGACTCGTCGAATCATAATCCGGAAAATCGGACTTTTTACAACGATAACTTACGTCAAGAGAATCGCGAAGATTTCTCGAATATCGAAACTTCGTACGAGGTTGCCACACGAGGTTGTTAGCGTAACACCGTGGCTTATTAAGAAACGAAATAATTTCGTGGAAAGGCTTAACGTTAATTATTATTGTACAACAACGTTCTCTGCTTTCCCTCCAAAAACAGTTAAACACGTTAACCAGCCCGAGGAACTTCTTCCTCGTTTTTCGTCCTTTCGTTACTCGTTACCTCGTCGCGAAGGGAACTGATTAGCATAAAATATGAACCGAATGCGGGATTCGACGCGAAGTAAACGCGCGGTAATGGCCGTGCACGAGAGCTCTCTTTGACGAGCTGCTACGCTCAGACGGTAGCAGCTACCAGTATTAGCGTTGGAAGGTGTGGAGGAAAGTTCGTGACAGTCGTAACACTTTCGTGGCTGGATCGTTAAGTAGCGATATCGACGACAATAACGGTATGCCCGAGTATATCGATGGCCTGGCCTCTTGTCGCGGGAACCTCCTTGAGAATCTACGCGCGTCCATTGTCCTCGAGATTACATAAGAGATTACGTTCCTCGCGGTCTTGAAACTTTTCAACGACCTCTACTCGGTTTCTAGATCGCTCGCGGGATGCTCGTTATCGCGTCATCGACGCGTCTTATCGATATCGGACCATGAAAGGATTAATGAAACCATTGTTAACAATGTACTAACTCCGTAGATAGAATCTCGACAGCTTTGAGCTTTTCTTTTCCCTATCATCTCACCTTCTCCACTCCACGTTGCATTTCCATGCATATAAATCACCGGTTACGGTTATCGGAGCAGCACTTTTTGTGTCCGCACGATCCTTTTCAGGTCGGCTTAACATTTGTGCCGTCTTGGCCGGACGATAGAAATACGGAGCAGTCGAACAAAAGCAGCAAGGGTTGAAGGGATCGTCAGGTGAACGCATTTTGGAGAGATGCTCAGAAACGAGGGCATAGAGGCGCGTTTACCGAGCTGTCGAGAAGTGGAGGCAAGCATCGGAGGGAGTTGTTGAAAACCTACGGCAGCGTGACTGTTTTCCGACGCGTTTGAAAGAGCGGGTCTTTAATAAAAGCAACTACGACTTCCTTAAGAACGTCGCGAGGAACACGTTAAAAATGCGTTAACAGCTTGTAACGAGTACCTACCTTTCGTGTCAGTGATCCCACCGGCCAAGAAATCTCGTGGATCTTAGTAGGTGTCGTCGACAGGTATTTCACCTTGCCGCCCCAGGGGGTAGAGCTCCTCTTCTTTGTAGTACTTTTCCCTTATCTAGCGGATCACCGATCAGATCGGAGACTGGTCTTTCAAGATCGAACTCGACGCGATATCACGCCGAGTCGCCAACGTTTCGTTGCTTCGGTATATATATGCACGTCCCTTATTACCGTCCAATAAGGAAATTTGTAATTTTCCGATAATTGCGAACGCAAGGTGCACCCATTGCCGAGGCAAAATGGTAATCACGTCGTAAATAGTCGCATGTAAATTGACTCGGATAGGAAGCCTTCGTCGGTTTGCGTTTTGTGTAGAGCGTAGTCTGCCCGAAATGATATCCTCTAAAAAGAGGAAAGCAAAAGCCCTGCAGGTTCGTAGGAAAGTGCAGACGATGGAATTCTCTTTCGCCTTCGGTAACGTTCACGAAGAGCAAAAAGGAAGGGGGCAAGAACGAGTACAAGGTGGAATAAAGATAGAAGAGAAAGAAGACGAGCTCTCCAGCTAGTCGGAGTAGTTTTAAACTAGTGTCTCGTTCTTTCTAATGACTGTCATTTACCTGGTGTCATTCTCGTGTTCCACTGCATCCGACAACCTACGACGTCCCTTCATACTGCACGTAATCTTTTCAATGTCCGAGACAAGACGGATTCCCGGCGTCATTAGGGAGCATAAAGTGTCTTTCTTTCCTTGTTTCATCCGCCTGCCCCACCCTGCGCGTCTCCTTTCTATCTTTCGTCTTTTTCGTCGTCTGCGGTGGAATTTGCTTCGACTCCTCCGCTTCGTCGTTCCTTCCTCGACGATTGCGCAGGCCAATAGTGCGCCAGGTGTGGTCATTAATTTCGCAGGAGACTGTGGAAAAAGACCGCGAGATCCGAACAAAGATTGTTTCGAGTCGGACTGCGCGGCTCTCCGACCGCCGACTGAAACGAGCATTTTTGCAGGACAATTATTCGCGAAGGTGAGCCGCGTCGTTGACACAGAATTGCCGTAATTCCTCTTTCCAGACCGTGCACAAATTTTCCGGCCGTTTTGCCGTCCGTCCCCAAGCAGGAAAACGTTCGTCCGCGATTTTAATTCTTCTTCCTACGAATCTTGCTAGATGTTACGAAATATTTCATATTTCTGTAACGCAGCTTCTAAAACCGCACATTATACAATTATACGTATTTGTGAAAAATACAATCCCTCTGTATCGAACCGCTATGAATATAGAACGGTTTTCAAACTTTTATTCCGAGCGATAAGCACAAACTGAACAAAGACTTAGTTTCATTCTCAAATTTTAAAGTTAAACTTATCCGCCACATTTTAAGATTGTTCTTGAATAATTGCGAATTTCCCGGAGATATATAGGAACGTACAAACACGTAGGATATTCTATTACCGGTGGTAATTACCTGGGTAGCAGTAAAATCCAGAGGAGACGGAAATCAATGGAAAGCGTTTAAACCACTGCCATCCTCACCATCCCCGTAAGCTATTCCAGACGCGCGACGCGACTACCACAGATATGCAACCAATACCCGCTATATTATATTCGATGGTGCACATGTCTATTCCGTAGACACCAAACATATTCGACGTTTTCTTTTTGGATTTTTTAACGGTATACAACGGCGCGCTAGTAGATCGATAATAACGAAACGCATAAATTATTTTACTTCGCGAAATAAATACGGGAAAATACCCTTAACGGATGGCTAGAGTAAAACGATGCCCTTTATACATATAATTCAGTCTCAATGACTAACTGTTCCTTCTGTCACACCACTCCCATTGTATCCTCGGGCCAAGAAACGTTTCTGTCCGTGATGTGTCGCGTTTCCGACTGCGTTTCGTGACTGCGAACGTATATGCAAATTCGTACTTTTACGAATACAACCAAAGGTACAACCAACGGTACAAAAGGAAGAATATGAAAGCAAGTATTATACCAAATACACGTTATCTATATTTTTCCACTTTTAGTGCGCTCTATTACGTTTTTGTATCTTGAAATTTTACATCCGCACTATACCGGTGATGTATCGACATATCTCAACATCGCTAAATACGACTAAGATTTTTTACTGAGTTGCGAATAGTCGCCGGTTATTAGCGAGAGGGACTCTGGTCTCGTGTGATTTCGCCGAGCGTGGAACGCATAGGAATAATACCGAGAAAGTAATGTTGCTCGCTTTACGTAACGAAAAAGACGAGACTCGTTAACGCGGTTAAATCCAGGATAAAATTATATCGCGAGTAAAGCGTACTCGTGAATTCATTCGGCTAAATGAATCGCGCTCCACTTTCCGTCCGAGCTGCTGATACGATTCACCGAACAATACGTGTAATGACGGTGACTCGTAATTCGATTCGTGCCACCGAATCCACTTTCTTTTTCCAGCATTTTGTACTTCGTTAATTATCGTGCGATTAAATCCAATGCCAAATAACATCGATCAGACGAGATTGAGTTTTAATTGGTTTTCGCAGGTCGGGTGGTGCATCCGGCACGGGTAGTGCTGGGATGGTACCATCGACCGGTGGAGGTCCTGGAAATCCAACAGGAGGCGGCAGGATGGCCGTCATCGGTGTGACTAGGAATGTCAGGCTGAGACGGCGTGGAGCGTCTGGATTTGGCTTTTCTCTTCGTGGTGGCAGAGAGTACGCAGCCGGATTTTACGTGAGCGACGTGCAACCTGGCAGCGAAGCTCACAGAAATGGATTAAGGGTAACGAAGTCACAAATTGTAGTTACATTTCTGTAATTGCTATCGGTACACCGAAGATATTTGTGTAAATTCAAATTTTTATGCACGTAATTGAAGCACGATCCATTAAATATCATAATGATTACTATATCTTGATTGTTTTACTTATTTCTGCATATTATGTGCATTGTTGCGATTTACGGTGTTTCATAAATGCGCAAACATCCACATGCACCTACCGTGCCGGTCAAAAATTTGAGATCCGTTTCCTGGTTGTACTTACATTTTGTCCCTCGCTAATTTCATTAATCGTTTAAGTTGAAGTTTATTAATTTTTAACCGTATAATTCATCGATTGTCAAATATCCATTGGAAATTAACGTTGCCGATATCGATAGTTGTAAATTTCCTTTACGACGACAAATTTTTTATTGAAGGTTACTTCGAGATAAACTTTTCTATTTTTTTTTTTAATTCTCCGGGGGAAACATAGCTATAGCTATTCGTATAACATTCGTCAAGAGATACGAATCGATTCCGTAATTACGAAACTACGGTTTCTGCTCTATTTCGTTAACCGTGTATTCTACTTTTCGTTTCACTTTGTCTTTTTACTTTCAGGTCGGTGATCAGATCATAAGGGTGAACGGGTATCCGGTTGAGGACGCAGTCCATCAGGAAGTGGCACTTCTGGCAAAAAACCAGCAAGTGCTCGTTCTCAAGATTCGAAGTAATTACTCGCATTCTTTTCCTCTTTTTTCCTTTTTTTTTTTTAATTCTCTCAACTCCAGAATACACGCGAACAACTTATACTGATTGCTCGTATTTTATTGTTTCAGGCGTGGGAATGATACCTGTGAAAGAGTAAGTACCGATCGCTCATTAAAAATTCTGCAAGGCTCTGGCGTTAGTCCGCGGAGTGTTTCCTCGTTATAAAAGTACTTTATGATTCGCAAAGCAACCCGAACGATCCGGTCACCTGGCACATGGTGCAGCAGCAACAGCAGCAGCTACAGTACAACGAAACTGGTTTGGGTGCCGTTCCGAGCACCGAAGTCAGGATTCGAATTCTCGTCGGCGAGAAGGGTCGCCTCGGGTGTGGTGTTTGCAGAGGCATCGTGCCAGGCCTCACAGTTCAGGTTAATTATACATAGTTTCTCGCTGACATTTGATAGTAATTTCGCAACTCTCCAGTGTTTAATTTCAATTACTTTCAATTTCCGCTTAAATGGCGATAGTAAAATTGATCTTGTTCGGTCAAATTACCATGGATACGGAATAGCACGATATAACAGAGGATCGAGAATTAATTGAATAAAATTCATTTAGGGCACCAGAGACGATGGACCAGCCAGAGCAGCGGGCTTGAAAGCCGGCGACATTATAATTTGGTGCAACGGCCAGCGTCTCACTGATCTTCCGTTCGAAAGAGCCATCGAGGTAATGAGAAGCTCCGCCGTTCTCGACCTCATAGTGCAACGACCTACGCCGAATCACCTTTACGACTGCCCTGAACCATTATGGACCCGTGGCTCGAGCGGTTACGATTCTGAAACGTCGAGTATGGCTGCAGCCAGCCCACAGCCGCAGAATCCTTCTTACTCGCCGCAGCATCATCACGACCCTAGAATGCATCATCGATACCCTCGCGATGACGTTTGCAACCGAAATGGAAGGTTAGTAAGACGAAGAGCAAATGGTATTTATGAAAAACTCGAACACTCAAAAGTCTATATGATATGGAAAAATATACGAAATATGTAAAGTAAAGCGATCCTCTCGTTAACATTTAGAAAGCAAAAGAAATCTCTATGTAGATTTCGATGCAAACATCTATGGTCTACTTATGTCATTTTATTTCTCTAACGTTAGGTAATTGATTGCGTAGATTACAAAACCAAAACAAATAGGCAGAGCAATATATACAGAATCAGAAATTTGTTTCACTTTCCCGTCTAATCAAGATAAATGCCTTGCAATGGTAAAGAAGTGTCTGTAATTAGTTACGTGCATAACTCTGATGTAACGTTTAAACGACCATATTGTAACACGATTATTATGCCATAGCCTGAACCGTTGTACGTAATTACAATTAACAAGGATCAGCTAAACTGTTTTTTGCCATAGAATCGGGCTAGATACAGTAGCTCGTGCAGTTTATGGCATTGGATAAGTCTCTCTCTCTCTCTTTCGTTACCGGCCGTTATCATGTGGCATCGACGAATTTGCACCAAGGAGAAAGTCGGTCTATTAATAGGACAGTCGGTGATAACGATCGTAGCACCGGGGAACAGGACGAATTCCTGACCGCCTCATAAACGTTCATCCTGTTCTTAACCCTCGTTCCTTTACGTCTTGCTTCCTCACGATGTTGTATAATTGGAATTAGAAAGTAGTACCGTTTGATGCAAAAATTACTGGTAACACGTGACCGTGAATATTGCAGGATTTGTTGCCCGCTTGCCCTGTCCACCAGCAGCTGCAGCTCCGCGGAATGGGCTCACGTGGATCAGGTACGAATTCTTATTCAAAAAATGGATCGTAATTTTTATGAAAAATTTACAAATGCCGAAGAGCGATACTCGTTCGATTGAAAAATAGAGAGACGCTAAACGACGGTAATTGATTGGTTCGCAGGCTCAGGAATGGTCTCGAAGACCAAATAACACCACGGTGATCCGTATCAATCAGAGCCAGAACCAAAACCACAGGTTCGTAGGTGCACCAGGTCGTCCGAACTCGCGTGGTAATTACGAAGATGATATCGATAACGAGCCTCTGTACGATCCTGTGGCACCAAGAATCGATTACGAAGTCCACGATTTCGACGCTAATCCGAGAGACGAAGCGAATCGTCGTTTGGCTTATCGAAGGGACAATATACGGCAACAGGACGTCATTTACGATGGTCCAGCCGATGATATGCCTCCCTATCATGGATCCAAAGTGAGTTACTCTTGTGTTAATAGGTATTGTTCTTCTAATATCTAGCGCTCGCTCTTTGATAATTAACGAGTATTCGATCGGCGCTTTCTACCTCCGAGTCTTCTCATAATCATCGCGATTATCTTGATCGAATTAACGTAATGATCAGTGTATAGTAGCCTAGAGCCATCGAAGCGGCTTAATTAAAAAGAGAAACGATCGTAGAGGTACGGTGATTGTACGTACGAACGTTGGACTGAGAGGACTCTTGTTAAACTTTTGTCGCAGGAAAATGGCACACAGGACGGAGATAGGAAAACGATAACGACCGTGGAGATCCACCAAACTGTATGCCCACCAGCACCGCCGCCACCTCTTCCTTATAAATGGTCCGGAGGTACGTTAAAATAATTCGAGAAAATACACGTAAGATCTATCGATACGACACATATCATACGGCAAATCGTCATTTTTCTATCGTTAGAAAATTCCTGAAGCAAAAGTGTCATTGATACACGCGGTTTCTCGTTTCGATCTCGTACCGAAGATACTTTTAAAACGTTAAAAGTCTTTTTCTTGCTTGAAACAAAGGCGAGATTGTGACATGAAAAAGTCAAGAATCGCAGTAGCGTCAAACGCTGACACTTTCTAAATAAGAAACAGCGTTCTAAATTATTAAGATCCTTTCGTAATACCTCGCAATACTTCGGACTTTAACAACACGTGTTAAAGTCAACTTCTAAAACGCGTATCATAAAGTAACGTGAAATGCGTTTCTATCCTTACAGACACGAAGCCAATGAACGCGAAGGGTATGCAAATGGGTAGCACAATGTCTATGGGCAGTACAGGCTCGACGGAAACGGAGTCGA